CGAGTAACGATTCCAACCCTTGTTTGGTTACAAATTAGAGAAACGAGATGAGTTCGTGTAGTTTATTTAAAATGAGATTTTTATTATTGACACACATTAAACACTATAATCAATTTAATTATCGAATTTATATTTTTAAAATAAATATTTAATTAAAATAATCTCTCAAAGGATCTATTGGGTTTATTTTTAAAGATGCTTGCAGTTTTATTTAAACATAACATCGATTGAACTATTATGGCAGAGGCGGTAATTTTTAATTGCTACATATTATATTGATTTAAATTTACAATAAACCTCAATAAGTGAGTTTTTCGTGTTTTAATTTTGCCGTATCCATTTTTTCGTGGTTCCACGTAAATGCATTTGACACAAATTAATGAGCGAGGTCCGACCAGGTTTAAACGAGGCCGGCCATTAATCGGACGCCTCGTAATACTTGAATTATCGAGGATTCTTTATATAAATATACATTATTCATTAACGGACATGATGCGCGAACATTCGGATTACAAAATGACGTATTTGTCTTTATTAGCCGGTTTCAGAAATGGCAGTTCTTCATTCGCCAGCATACATTTCTTTTTGTTTTCAACACCTCAATATAATTCGTTTTAATTAATGTATTTTTTTGTAAAAGTATATTGCACATATTGTACATACGATGCCATATAAATTCTGTATAATATCAATGAAAGAATTACTTAAAACACCTTTAACAGCAACTGCGTTGCCAACGTCCTCATATAAAAAAAAAATATTATAATTTAGTCGACAAATTAGTCAAATAGGATGAAATATATATTTCTTCATATGTCCCGTTTGTAATTAATTTTAACACTACGTATTTAATGCCGACATCTTAAGAAAAACTTGTTACTAAAAATGTTATTTTTTAAAGAAAACAGTTAATTTAATTCGTAAACTTTTTCTGTTCAAACGCATTTATTATACATTAAACTTTATAACAATTATATTAACATTTAATTCGCCATTTTAAACAGAACTTCTTGTATAGTATAGTATAAATAATAATAATAATAATAATAAGTGGAAATATTTACAAGACATGTGACCATAAAGCTTCAACGAGACGTATTTTAACTGAGATAAAATCATGCAACATTGTAACAGTCGCAAAACGGGAATAAAATTTGGGTTACATCCCAACATTTCAAAATATATACAGTTTTTAATTGGCTCGTGTCCTTTCATATCTTTAATAAAGCCATCTTTTATGAACTCAATGACGATATTCATTTAATTCATCCACACGAATGATTCGGAATAGTCTATTGAAAACAGACGTTTATAATAATTGGATTTTTACAGGAATTATAATTATATAGGAAACAATAATGATTACGTGATATTTATTTCAACTATAAGTAATGTATATTAATATTATTCTCATTCATTGTGATATAAATGTATGTTTTTTAAAATAATTTTTGTGTTCCTATTCATAGATTTCTTTACAATTATTGTAATCTATATATATTATATGTTTCACTTGAGAATAATCTGACAAAACCTATAACAAATGAAAGATTTCAATCAACTAACTCTATCAATAGTTTTTCTCTATATATAATTCTTATTGTTTTATATGTTCAATTTCTCACAACAACTGTATACAGCAAGTACACAATATACTATTAATAATAATGAATTATTTAATTCATACTATCTGGGTTAATAAAAAATATAATTTATTTTAAAATTTTATTAAACAAAATTAAGTGATAATTATGATACTTTATTGATTTATTAATTGTAACGTCAATTTTAATTTCATTGAAAGTGTACCGTCTGTATAACCTTCTTACCCCATGAAACAACCCTTCATAATGGGGCTTCGATGTGATAACCCCATACACCACAACACAAAACCGCTGTACAATGACTGTTAGGTTGTAATATAAGCTTTTACAAGCGTTGAATGAAGTTACATTATATATATTATTTTAAATTTAAAATAAAATTGTTGTGATTATATAAATAAATTAAATATATCACTGCTTTAATTTAAATATGTGTATATTTTTAGTTTCTCTCAATACAAATCATATTTTTTAAGGAAATTTCGTGATTGTAAGACATATAAGAAAAAATATATATAGGTAAGATTTTGAAAGAATTGTCAGCACTATAGTTTTGTTAAGACATTTATTTATTCACGTACTCTCGAATATAAATTCAAACAAAAATAAATGTAGCATATTAATAATAATTATAATTATTGTAGTAGTATTATAAAAGATAAGAATATTTTTTATTCGTGGCTCTATTGTACAGTTCATCCATTTATATCAAGTTCATGTAAGGTATGATGTGAAATATGAACTTTAAAATATTTGAATTAAATATATTAATTTAAAAACCTATAGAACGATGTGTCTGTCGGTACATCAATTAAGAATGACGAGTAACCACACTTAAATGAAACTTATATTTTCGGATTACTACGCGTTATTTTATCATTGTTAAACTACATACTCCCGACGTTTCGTTTACACGTATAGTGTACATATTGCGTAGGTATAACGTGTAGTAATAATAAAATATTAGTTTTATTTAAATAAATAGACGAAAGTCTTACTTCTCATTATGATTAATAACTAAAAACATCACAGTAACGCCAAATTCCAAAATTACTTGAACCTGGCTGATAATAATAATAATCAATAGAAAATATCACAAGGAGCCTAAATGAATGTATGGTTGGAGAATTTAATGTGACGTCAAATATAAAAAGAATTGAATTGTATTTGTTACTAATAAAGTAGATTGATATAAACCTAACAAAATGAGGATGAACGTAAAAAATAATGCCAATTTAATTACAATATTAAAAAAATATAAAGATTTTTAGGGAAGTTTATTAAAATTGATGTCGGTTTTATATGACATATTACAATAAAATTATTGACAAATATATTAACACGGTACACCACAAAGAGATAGATTAAAAGTACTACAAAAATGACATTACAATAGGAAGCTAAAAAACTTAAAATCAAATAAATTTTGCGCCTAAAGATAAACTCTCAACGATAATTTCTAGCGAGTGACCGCAATTAAAAAGAATAAGAAATATATTTTATACAGAACTACATACCTATGTAAAAAGAAAAAATGTTCACCATAACCAATGGTGTCGGGACCACACTGTCTGACCACCCATGAACATGGTAATTGCTCTAGCATACCTAACATAGGGGCTGAGGGTAATCAGTGAGACCGTTAAAAACTATGATATGCATTCAAACAGTGAGCGGCTATTGGCTAGGTACGAACATTTACGACACGGCGGACGGTAATTGAAAATAAGCTATAGTGTTGTAATATACTGACGAACTAAAATATATCTTATACGAACGTAGGATGGTTGGTTTTAGATTAATATGTCACAAGATAAGATCTGAGGCGTGACGTTTTCTGTAATTTGAAAGTAATTTCCTGAGCTATTGTTGGGTGTGTACAATGCTCATATTTTACATTCTATGTACGTGAACACGCTTCCGCGAAAACGCAATTACGTTTATTTATATATAAATATATGTATATAATTATATTTAATTATTATTATATGTAAACGATATGTAGGAGACGTTTATATAATTTACAGCTACATACGATAATAAAACAGATGATATTAAATAGCTGTTACATTTCATTAGCGGAGGTAACCCGAAACCTAATACGAACATACATAATTGAGGTTTTTTACAACTTCTCAGAATATCAACATAAAATACAATTTGCCTACACATTTTAAAACATCGGCCCTTGAGTTTTTACAATATCTAATAATACGTTGTAAATCTTTAGTTATTAATACGGGGTGGAGATTGTAATGGCGCCTCAGAAATTTATAGCCATATATATATAGTTAATAAGTAAAGCTAAGATAAAATATATCTAATTTAAATCGGCGCATCAGATAATAATGAAAATGTACATTAATTATTACATTTATTTCACATTTAGTTTAGTCTGGACTTGTAGTTTAAGCACAGTATAAAATGTGCAATAGAAATATATGTATGACAATAGTTATTCAATCAAAAAATTGTCATGTTAACATTGAAAGATTCATTTGTAGGAACGACATTCTAACACGCTGGAATCTGACGTTAAAATTCGACTTTACATATATTAACCACCAAATACTAGCCATTTGAAATTTAAACTTATTACCTCAAGATAAAGTTTACAATACAAATATATGTCTGTTGGCCATATAAGTAAAAAATCACTCAGAAATTTGAACGTTCCTTTGAACGACATGTGTATATGTTAAAAATCAAAAAGGAATAACAAAGCAATACAAAATATCAAAACATAAAGGATTTTTAGATCGCGCGTCGCTGGGGTGTATATGAAGAAATGTTGATGGGATTCCATTAACACCACGAAGAACTATCCCGATGGTTACAACAATGGGATTCCTTGGTGACAGCCGAGGAGAGAAGTTTACAGAATGTTTTGCGTTCCGCTTCCATAGTATAGGGATTGTTGCAGTTTTGTTTTTGGATACGACATTCATAAAGCTATGGCTGGTATTTTATAGTTAATGTGCGGTCGCGACGGATAACGTGTGTAAGCCAGGCCGTAATCTGATGTTAAAACAGCTTACTCCTGCTAATGATGGAGATAATACGGCTAACTGTTGTTTCAAAACCCATACAATGTAACCTATTGTAATACTCTACCAATATAGTATTGAATTAGTTCAATTATAAAATCCAATTATTTTTTTAATTCTAAATTGAATTTAAATAAATGTAATACCAACCTAATATAATGTTTTTATGATATAACCAAATAACAACAGTGACGTAAAGTTTAAAAGACATTTCAAGCTGTTTAAGACAGCTCTTTAAGCTTGTAAGTGAGAGTGAGGACTTACCGCTCCGAAGTCCAGCTATAAAAACAATTCGCACAGCATACAACAGCATGTGTCCAAGCACAACACCGCACTTGTATATAAAGTATCATTCGCAAAACAACTTCATCGACGATGACAGTACACCACTAATATTATTAATTTCGCTCAGCATTTTCCTAAAAAGAAAACAACACTATTAACACAACACTTCACATACATATTATGTCACATTATATTTCAAAATTTTCCATCTTCGTCCGGTCACTGCAAAGGGGAAATCACTACTGGTTAGAGAGTGTATTTTTCGCAGACTTCTACATTTCTTTTATCGACTTACGTAAACAATATTGTTGTGTGAGTTGTAACATTGTATCGAGTAGTGTTGTGATGTATGTACAAATACTCATAAATAACACACGAATATGACGTAACGTCGGATTTAATCGAGCCGATTTTAATAATTATCGATATATTTTTTGTAATCGATAATAATTTCAAAGCGATTTTTATAACGAAATCGGATATCGTGCTGGCGCGAAGGCTGTAAATCGCGGAGGCGTTCGAGCAGGAATTGAAATTGTATTAATTTTTTTATTTGTATAATAAAATTAAGAATGCTGTTCACACCGAAAGTAACTTTTATAACATGCAAAAAATATGTTTGCAAGCTATTGAATAAATAGTTTTACGGGACCTGTCTAGCAATAAGAATGCAGAACAAAATACTGTGCAGTCACAAGTAACGTGACTAAAAATACAATTATTTACCGTCATTAAATCAATAATAATTCTTTCTGTGTTAAAGGGAATCGTGTATATAATTAATGGGCTAATTAACAATATTATCTTTTTAGTTATATGCATTCAAACACTTCATTATTCAGTATTAAATGTTCCGTGACTGATGCAGTGTGAACAGCGAAGTACGTACGTGTTTTATATGGAGTATTATGAGTGATTTTGTGCTCTATTTCATGTATGTGGTGTGTGTGATATGTCATGTGTGTGATGTTTAAGTTCTATCTAATACAATATATATGTTGTATGCTGTATAAGTTCTGTCCGATAAAATATGTTGTGAATGTGATATATCCTATATGTCGTGTGTGTGATTGTATGTGACGTGTGTGACGTAAGTCGGGAACGTATTCCGCCTGTGTGATATGTGTATAAGTGTCTGTATGGAACAACTAATATTACTGTATTAAAGTCCGTACTGTCGAGTCGAGTTCCGTAGCTCGTGCCCATCGAATATGTTCAGATTATGTTTCCTCGCGTATTCGTTGATAATCATCTTCCCTGCGGACAAATACGCGTTATCAAAATTCGCATAGCACAAATAAGAAATAGGTGATATAGATAATTAATTTAACACAAAAATATACATCATTTTTGTTATTAATAATGTTGTTTTTGTTATTTTCATAATATTATAATATACTTTCGTAAGTGAACTACATATTTAATTTCATTTTTTGTGTAAAGGATAAAATATATTCCTAATATTGACATTAATAAGTACGGTTAATTAAAATTTTATTTAACCATAATTTAAATTAAAAAAAAGACAACATAAATCATAAGATTTACAAACAAATAACTTTACAAAAAAACACAAGGATTTTAACTACTTTTAATATTTTTACTCCAACTTGGATTGGATGTCAATTTTAAATAAAAAATTAAGTTATACTTTGGATATTAATGAGAAATATTTTGAGAAAAAAAATAAGGGAATTTGAATGTTGTTTTTAAGCATATTGTGAAATAAAAGGATTTATTTTCTTTAAGTAGCTAGAATCTGTTTACCGTAAAGCTATAAGTATCCTTAATTGGAATATTCTTTGTCAAATTAACGTAGATAGTTAAACTCAAAAAATAGTAACCAATGTTATGAAAAGACTAAAAATTTTTTAATATAATAATAATTATAAATAAACATTTAGGGCATATAGAAAAAAATATACAAAAACGCATCACTATTTAAGTATGTATTTTTTTAACATTTTCACTACCTATTTTTAAGCAATTGCATAAATTATAAATTTGATATTGCAAAACACTTGTACCAATAATATATTTTTTACAAACGGATAGCTATATTATTTTAAAACAATAGAAACATTATTAATTAACAGCTAATTTATATAATTTATTTGTTTTCTATTCAAAAAATAACCTCCTAATTTATGTTCAAGTATTTAATAGCGAATTATTTAATTAACAAAATTATTAATTATCATTAATTCACCTATTTCTTATAATAATAGTGACACGCAAGCGATATGTGCTTTGTTTCTATATAACATTAAGTGGATATAATTGTGTTTTATTAAATAAGAAAAATAATTTATAACAAATAGTCAGCCGTCGGCGGAGCGGTCGTGAATCGATTGTATCTCGTACCTTCTAACCACACCCCGCTATTATACCATTTATAATGTCTTTGTTCTTAATTAAATTCATAAAACTCATACATTTGAGCCCAAGCCGTTCATAGACATTTATTAATTATATTTCGTGAACAATCTCGATGTGATGTTTTTATTTTGTGCTCGTATGAAAGGCGTTAAATAAAAATACCGAACGTCCATCTCGAAGTGGACATTTCTTTCTTTTGTTTCGCACAATTAAAGCATTTATAATGATACAAAACATTGATTTATAATGTACGTGTGTCCGTATGTGAGATGGTTATATATTTTTAAAGCATTTAGTTTTTTTTAAGTAAATAAATTTTGTAGCCAGATTCTATTGAGAACAAAGAGTAAGTCGATTTAATTAAAATAAAGGAATCTATCAATTGTACATGAAATTTACACAACATGCAAAACCATGTACGTACATGCTTACTACAAATTTTACAATGTGACACTGTGTACGGAACGTCAACAGTTTTTTATTCCTAGATCTTCCCACAAAAGTATTACCGTAGAAACGCATCGTAGGTATGTAGATTAGATGGAAACTTGTGGTAAGCATAATGACGTTTAATGTTAACCTATCATAAAACTTATAATTATCCAAAAATAAAAGATTGTTTTTAGGTCCACAAATGATACTTTCTATGAATTAATAAAATAAAAGAATACTTCACATTTGAACTCAGTAAATACTTATTTTTTATAATTATTTATCACACTCGATTTGTATTATGGAATATTTATTGACTATTTTGTTTTCTTGTCGGTGGTACAGCAGAATGCCCAATTGGACAAAAACAGAGTAGCTGCATATTATCTTGCATTTAATCAATATCTCATAACGTAGTTAAGATTTCAATAATCTGAAGGAATCATTGCTACAAGTACATAAAGAATCAGCATATGGTGTTGCATATTTTTGTTACAACAATTCTTTTATCAGAATCCAAATTATTTTATAAGAAAAATCCTCACGGCTTGAACTAAAATGTAGGAATTTTTATAAATAGTGCATCTCATATATATATAAATAAATCAAATTTCTCTAAATCTTCCATAAAGCATGTCAATATTCATATTTAAGTTAGTGTCGCCAGCTCATACCTTCGTCGATTTTCCTGGAAGCCTCCTCGAGGTCGCTGCCAGCGTAGTTCAAGATGACCAGCACTAATGGCATCATCTCCCACGAGTAGTGGAACTTCTCCAGCAGCTTATGACAGTTCTCCACCAACGACTCCAGAGAAACCGCTGGAATATGAAAAGGATATTAATTATAAAAGTATCTAAACCTCATCTATATATAAGTGTTATTAGATTTTCAAACTTAAATAAATCTGATTAGAATATAAAATCCTTTCTACAAAATTTCCTGTAACATGCTAGGCTAATTTATGATTTCATTAATCTCTATAATCATCTGGAATCAAGTCTCAAAACGTAATTGCAAATAAATTTTGAATGTCCCTAATTTTTTTTATTTAATTAGTATAATCTGATACTTTGGACTTTATAATATGATTGAGTCCTCTCCCTTCAATTTATCGGGTTTTTTTTTTTCACACTGATGTAACATTTCAAATAAGCACACGTAATGAGGACCGCTGATGAAAATTATTCTGTATAAGTTGTCTGGTTATACAAGCTACGGCAAATATCTAAGTTTAAACGGAACACTTTTATGTGAAATCGCTGAGAAGCACAAAATCGTGAGAAAACGTGAAATCACTACAAAAACTTGCTTCATTTTGTCGCATAGATGGTGAGTGCGAACGAGAGGTATAATAGCTAAATAGCTCTACAACCTACTAAAACACTTTGGTCTGACCAGAACTAACATCTTTCATTTTTAAAACATGATTTGAGGACAACCTTACTAAGTTCGTTTCAATTTTGGTAAACTATAGAGAGGAGCTTGGACGGAAGAGGAGAGACCCTTTAAACCTGCACCTGGGTAGAAAGTCCCAGAATTGTAGAAGCTCCTCTCCCTCAAACGCGATGGACCCGGCACCCAAACAGTGAAAACATGGAATGCTGAGAAATTTCGTCTCTTATGAAGGACATTGTAAGAGGCCTTGTATTTTATAATATACAAATAGATTCTGTGAGTTATTTGAGGCTTTGGCCATATAATGCTTAAGCTCTAGAACTCAACAATAGATCGTTGAGTCAACTCGCTCAGTTGCCAAACGACAGTATGGAGCCACTCTAAAAACTCGAAAAAACAAACGTCTTAGCGACATAAGATCAAATCTCAAGGATAATGTTTCAAGATCTCAAGAGCCAGTCTTCTTGCATTTCATCAGATAAAATACAGAAACAAACGAATAGGTCAGAGGCAACTCTCGTGTGATCGATACAAAATATGTACACAGCTAAAGTAATGGCCTCCCACTAAGAAATGCTGGTTTTTAATATACTACTGTTTTTTTATCTACAGGTCAACCTGTCTGAACTTTGACAGATATTAATAATTTGTTACGTTTTATAATACATAACAATTCCAATATGTTATTCGTTTTGGACGCAAGCAAATTTAATTTTTATGTCATCTTTAAATTTTCTCTAACGAAATTTATTCAATGTACCTATATATTGTAAGTATATTCGAATAATACCTACTGCAGGACATTTTAATATTGTATCACAGGTTAATGAAGATACGTGTGTTTTATTATTAAAATATAATTCGGTAACTTTAAATTTATCACCCATATATCAAATGAAATCTATTTATTAACCTTTAAGATTTGGCTTTGAACATCCACATCTTATTCATAAAGTTATCTAAACATCTTAAGTGTGATAAGGGATGCTGACTGTTGAAATAACCGAATAAAATAAACTATATAATTATGATGTCTTCTTAGAAACATTTTAATAATAACAAAGCATGCATTTCGTAAACTTAAACACATAATATAAATATTTAGTCTGAACTACACTTAGATTTTTCAAGTGACGGTTGAAAGTGTCTTATAAACAACACTATTAAAGTGAACAACCAAAATAAGCTGACAGCGGATACGTATCAATGAATAAAAATAATGACATGGATAAAAAAAAGTAATGATATCTAAGATTTTCGCGAATACGACTCGTCTGCCCGTGATCACGGTTACTGTAAAGTAACCGAAACTTCGGAAGTATGTAATTAAAAACAATTATAAACGCATAGTAAATCCGAAAATAATAAGTTTTATTTCATTAAAAATGATGCAACTTTTATATAATATTAGTTTATTCACTAAGACTTAGTTCTCTACAATCTACATAATTCAGTAGGTACGCCGTTTTACTCAACAGTTCAAAACTTCAGTTTATGACCTCCGTGACACAGCCGTGTTAGGTTTCGTTAACACGAATTTTCATTTAAATATACTATTATAAAAATGTTATGTTCTGTATCGTTAATTTTATACATATAATTAATTTGAGTGTCGCGTAATAATTTATATGAGGTACACACACGTTTTATTGTACGTTCAATTTAATACATTTTTTTAATACATATTTTTTTAACTAGCCACATGTGCTAACTTTTTTTTTTGATGTCGCAGGGAAACTCTTTTTACGAGCCGTCCAACTGGCCTTGGTGGGGCCGGAAGGGATGTGTGAGGCTCGGCCTGGGCAGGCCCCTACTCACTAAAACCACTGCGAAAGCCATCGGCCGCTATGTCGGTGTACCCCGGATCTGCCAGCGACAGGGCCCACCAGCGCACATGAGCTAAATAGCATAACCTAAGCAAACTAACAAATTATGCTCAAATATTTTTCAAGACAAATATTGAATAAATTAATTGTATTTTGATTTTTGATGCTTATGTATTATATACATATAATTTTATAGGAATAATATTTATTTTTTAGACACTTTATGCAAATATATCAATAGACCAAAGTTTCGTATAATTATAATTACGTATCAATATAAATTAATGACTTTTTTCATATTAAATTAAAGTTATTTCGGTACACGTCCAAACAACGCGGTTCATTATTTCACGGGATTCCACTACGTCCGTAACGAGATATTTAACTAACTTTTTTGATAACGAAATAAGATGTCCACAGTTGATACGGAATTTAAGCACCAACATTGGTCCTCATGATACAAATGCACCACATTCTTAAAATTTGTATAGTGTCAGCAATGTTATGAACAAAAACAATTAATGAAACTCAAAACAAATTAATAGAAATTCTTCACTGTTGTCTCAAAAGAATGGACGCAAGAAATGTTGAATGTTTTGTTAAATACATACACGTACGAGTATGTAATAGAATTGGTAATATTTGGTTTCGATTCAAAGAAATTAACACAAATTTTTATTGCCAACACCTTAAACTTATTGATATTTCATTTCACACTTACGAAGATACTATCATTAATAATTAATTAATTCTATAATCAACTTCTGCTTGTATACTTTTTTCAAAGATATGAAAAATTAATCATAAAAATAAGTAATTAGCAAAATGTATAGGTATACGTAGGTAATCTAACTATTTATGTATAGGTTTTTTGTTTGAATTTAATAATATTTATTTTTAGATTCATATAAGAACGCTGATATGTAAATTTTTGGATTTCTTTGTTCTATATAGGTAACTGTTGGAAGTTATACAGCCTTTAATAACACTATTAGTACAACCTCATTTATAAATAAATTATTCCAGGTAATCACCTATTATTTTTAATCAAGAATATTGAATTTAAAACTAGATTTCAAGTAAAGATAATACAAAATATTTACACCAAAAATAATATTCTCATCGATTTTAAATGAGGACTATTTAAAAACTATCGAATTCCCCCATAAATCTAGAAGCTTCCATTGAAATACCAATAAGAGACGATTACCAAAACAAGCATTCCTTCCGAGTATTGAACGCTAAAAGTTTCGAAACAAATAAAGAAAAGCATTCAAGTACTAACGACGTCTAAAACGTTCGGAGAGTTTTAGTGGCCTTTGTAAGAACTCAAAATGATTTTTATTAACAACTAATTGAATAATTTCAACAGATGTTTCACACCGTACTTATTATTACTATCTGTAGTGATTGAAATATAATATTCGTTTTATATATTTTATTTGACTGTAGAATGATATAAGCAATAGGCAATAGTCAGTGGTGGCCTAGTGGTTAACAAGCCCGCCTCTCATGCACGAGGGCGCGGGTTCGATCCTGGCAAGTACAAATGTGATTTTTCCGAGTCATATGTACTTTCTAAGAGTATTTACACATCACTGATTAATGCATTACCAAAAGAGGGTTGATGCCAGGCAGACGGCCGGTCGTAAAAACGATTAGCCAAAACTGTTCAAAACATGTAGGGCAGACCCTGGCTAAAGCTGGGAGATTGCCAGGTAGAAGAAGAAGAATGATGTAGGCAATGAGATAAATGATGTATCTTTGATCAAAAGTTTGGGTTCAATGTAACACTTTTATGACGATTTTTAGACATATGTTTAAGTTTGATTTTATATTATTTATAAAAATTTCGTGAATCATTCGTTTTTGTTTGATAAACAGTAAAAAGGTTTTTCGTTGTTTATAATATACTACAAAATGGTACATATCGATTTTATTTATATTAAAATGTAGTATCAAGAACGAACCATAATATACATATATAGGATTTTTGCGTTTACACATTTAAGTGAAAATATGATTTTCGGATATATTTAATTTAAAATTGTTCCCACTATTCGATTACTTTATATCAACGGCGATTACGTACAGGCGGAAGTTTTCATCTCGTCATATCATACTTTAAATTTAAATGGTAACTCATGTAGATATAAGCTTGAGATGAAATTTTACGTAAAGACGTTTCACGTAATTATTTTAGAGAAACCGTGATCACCTGCAGACGAGGTGAAAGTTATATTATCAATAATAAAATCATGTACTTGGTTATATAAACATAGTATTATTTTAAGAGATTCATGCCTATCTGTAAGTAAGCTGGAAATGTGAAGACAGCTACCGTAATGATTGCCCGCGACTCCGTCAAAGTTGTGCTCAGAGAAAAATGTATACCTAAAGAGTATTAAAAAATATAGTAACCTGTCTTGCAGCGTTTTCATTTTAAATAAAATAGATACCGATTGATTTGAGCTGATTTGTGAATCTAAAACATTAAGAACGACACACAAAAGTATACAAAATATTCATTTAAATCAGTCAAGATGACTAGGATTAGTGAAGTGACATTTGTTATACACGTACAGTAGAATTATATA